TTGTCTCTTAACGTGCTAGTGACACCCCTGCTTTTCATTGGGGGATGTTGCATCGTTTGCCGAGTCTTTTGCTTTCGTTGTGAGTGATTTTCGTGTGCAAGTTCGGTACTAGTCCCTCTAGGATTTTCCAGGTGTATATAATCATGTATCTCTCCCGCCTGCGTTCCAGGGAGTACGCGGGCGGTTGTGTAAAGACAAGCCACGGCATACTGAGGCAGTATGCCGTGGCTCTGACGTACTAACAAGTGACTGACGCACTACACAGTGGCTGTGACCTAGTGCACAGTGGTTCTGGGTGTGGTGTAGTTCATAGTCTGGTTTAACCTTTCCCCCATTTCTATCACATTAAGTTCAATCAACCATCTGTCACTCAGATGGATCAGTTCCATCACATTAAATTCAATTAACCATCTGTCACTCAGATGGATCAATTTATCCAAGCCTTTTTTGTAGAGAATATCTTATTTTTATATTAATATAGATTTTACACCTAGAGAGCGCGAAAGAGATGAGGAGAGGAGAGAGGAGAGAGAGAGATGGAGAGATGGAGAAGTGCAGAGAGGAGAGGTGAGAGGGGAGAGGAGAGAGAGAGAGAGAGAGAGAGAGAGAGTGAGAGAGAGCGAGAGAGAGAGAGAGAGAGAGAGAGAGACTGGTTGAGGAAGCTATAGTAAAAGAAAGATCAAGGAAAGCAACAGATAGCCGAGATGTGAAAAAAAAGGTGTAATAGAGAGAATAAAAGGCGTGTAAAAGTAAGAGAATAATGGTGTGGGTGTAAGAGGAGGGCTGGCTCTCATTTGTTGTCACATTGTATTGAGGACATGCCTCCTACGCTCTCTCTCTCTCTCTCTCTCTCAGACAAAGTAGCCTCACAAATATATTAAAGTTCAACTTACAGCGGAGTGCGTCATGATTCCCACACGTTGTGTGTCGTATACAGCGAGACCAAACAGCTAGTACTGCCAGGGAGATATTTAACGAAAATAAACTCAAATTCGTGACGTAAGTGTCACCCTCCTTCGTGTTTATTGGCGATTCCAGCGGCAGACTGCATACAAGACATTTATTGGGGAACATATTTCTCTTGAGTAAAGCTCTGTGTAGAGTCTTTATGTAGAGCTCTGTGTAGATCTCCTTATGTAGAGCTCTGTAAAGCCCTTATGTAGAGTTTTTTAGTATCGCTCTGTGTGAATCTCTTTCCTAACCAGATAGTGGGCAGGTGTTCTCTGGAGGCAAGGATGGATACGGCGTAAGACGCTAGTGACCCTAATCTCCAACATCAACAATAACAACAACATCAACGTGTGCCTTTCCTTCACCATATTCATAAGTAGTCTACATTAATTAAGGTCATTAGCTCGCTAATAGATTAAATAAACATCAATATATTGATGTAGGGAAGTATTAATAGCAGTGGTAAGTGTATTATGATACAAATAAGACACGAAATTATCTATTTATCTATCTGTCAAGTGTCAGAGCTACTGCATACTACCTCAGTCACTGCGAAGTGTCAGAGCTATACACAAATAACCCGCACATAGAAGAGAGGAGCTTACGACGACGTTTCGGTCCGACTTGGACCATTTACAAAGTCGTCGTAAGCTCCTCTCTTCTATGTGCGGGTTGTGTATCGTTCCAGTCACGGTATTGTGCCTTTTTTTGTTATGTCAGAGCTATAGTGCAGTGCGTCAGTCACTACGTATTTCGTCGGAGCGTATATATCTCAACACGAACATCCCACAGTAACAACACAATGTGTTAATAACACGAGACAATCCAAAACTCATTTTAAGAGGGAAGAAACTACTTAATCAATGGTAGTTCATTAAGGTGGAGTGGTGGAGGTGAGGTGGGGATGTGGGGAGTGAAGGAGATTGTGAGGGAGATTGTTTGTGAGACTCCTGGCATTTCTTTCTCCTCCCTTCTCTACCTTCCTTCCTGTCCTCCTCCCTACCTTCATCCTCTTCCCTCTTCCTATCTTCCTCCCCCCACAAGCCTTCCTTCCCTCCTACTCCCTTTCTACTCTCATCCTATATTCCTCCTCATTCACACGCTTCCTGCCTCTTTCCTCCTTCCCTGTCTTCCAAGATGAAGATAAATATCCTCAGCATTATCCAAGGAAATTCATTTGCTCAGATTCATCAAGAACTTTATTACTGGCTCCTTGTTGCTCCTTAATGACCCTGCCATCCTTTCACGTTGAACGACCCCCATCCCATCCTCATCCCTTTTAAACAAACGATACTTGCTTTAAACAACACAAAAATAACCCGCACATAGGAGAGATAGTGTTGTGAGATTCGTAGGGGATGTTTGGAGTAGTGTAAAATGCGTAATTACAATCTTGAGAGAGGAGCCCATGCCAGCTTTTGTACCGTTCCTATTCCTAGTTGTAGTGAGGCCGAGAACGTCGTCGTAAGCTCCTCTCTCCTATATATGTGAAGGTTATTTACCTGGAGAGGGTTTCGGGGGTCAACGCCCCCGCGGCCCGGTCTGAGACCAGGCCTCGTGGTAGATCAGGGTCTGGTCAACTAGGCTGTACTGTTCCAGTCACGGTATTGTGCCATTGTGTTTTTCTTGCTGTAACCAGGTTTATAATCTCACATTTCCCTCACTCGTCTCTAAATGAATCGTTCCATTAGGTAAATATCCACACTGGTAATATTGTGGTGAGTGGGCGTCACAACAGCGCCTCCGGCGGCCATTCCTGCAGCAAAGCTAATCACTTCGTAAATTGGGATTCCAATGGTAATATGCCTCGAAGCGAATGGCTGATTGATTTAGTTTGCGATGGAATACGTCAACCAGTTCAAGAGGTTCCCGTGAGTGCATACACACACGCACTAGTCTGGCAAGTGACGTAGTGGAGGCAGGAACCATACGTAGTTTTAAGACGAGGTATAATAAAGCTCATGGAGCAGGAAGAGAGGTGTCCCAGTAGCGATCAGTTAAGAAGCGGGGCCAGGAGCTATGAGTCGACCCCTGCAACCACAAACAGGTGAGTACACGCATATACATGCATACATATCGAATAGGCAACTGCATCACACACACACACACACCCCTACACCTACACACACACACAGTGTTGATATACACAGAGTTGGTCACGAGGAATATCTAGTCACAATACCATGACTGAAACAATCCACCAAAAACTCGCACTTAGGAGGGGAAGCTTATAACGACGTTTCGCTCCATCCTGGACCATTATCAAGTCACAGCTGAGACAGTGGTCCAGAACGTTATAAAATTCCTCTCCTAAGTGCGAGATTTTAGTGAAGGTTGTTGATGCATGTATACATTCACAAATAACGCGCAAAGTCACTAAGAAACACACGTTGCTTAGAGTGACTTTAAGTGGTTCAAGTCGGACCGAAACGTTGTCATAAGCTCCTCTCTCCTATGTGCGGGTTATTGGTATATTGTTCCAGTCAGGGTATTGTGCCTCTTTGTACTTTATTTACACAGTCGCTTGGTAATTCACACACCAACAGTGCAGAGGCTCCACGAACAATATCCTACACTAGGGTGTCTCTTACACGTGTATAAAGGAAGGTAGCATGGTGTCGCTGCTGCTGCTGTGAGCAACACAAGGAGTTTTCACAAGGTACATAACCATAACTGTCTCTCTTAAAGATAATGCGCCCCTTCATGGCTCTTCAGAAGCCGGTGTCTCCTGGGAGGCTGCAAAGTATGGTATGGTACAGCAGTCTAGCACTGCCTAATGACTTCCCCCTCTCGTGTTTACGGCTTAAGTCTTACAATGCGTGTGTATACCTCCTCTTCCTGAAAACAAGTATAGCGGAACACAAGTAGGAGGAGAGTTACGGCACACGAACGAGTCTGAATACAGAGATACTTCTGGCATGGACAAGACAAGAGGAGCCGCGACAAGCGTATAAATCCGAGATACTTCTGCCCAAGACAAAACAAGAAGTGGTGTCCCGTAGCTCGATTGCTAGCGCACTCAGTTCACACACTGACGTCCGTGGTTAGATCCCCGGTACGGGTGGAAACGTTAGGATGTGTTTCATTAAGACACCTGCTGTCCCTGTTCACTTAGCATTAAAATAGGTACCTGGGTGTTAGTCGACAGATGTGGGTCGCATCCTGGGGACAAAACTGACCTAATTTGCCCGAAATGCTCTGCAAAACAAAGGGCTTTCTGTATAGTACGTCACTGGTATCAACTATGGTCTGTATAAGTTGTATCATGTACTTGTAGAAATAAATGGTATACGCCTCTCACACTACCATACAACTCTTTAAACTCTCCCGTAAACATCTAGTCCCCCATACATCTCTCCCATACATTTCTATACCGTTTATAAAATCCTACTTCCCTCCGACCGTACGCTCTTACATTATTAATCTTTTCGACTCGCTGTTAAGTTATACAACAATTATTACAATCATAAACCTACTAGAGTTATACCCTAAGCCTATACATATAGAAATTTATATATATATATATTGTCAGTGTCAGTGATTTTAAAATGTCCTGTATACAACATCAAATAACGGACATCAGTTACGGAAACTCACTACGCTGCTACCATCCAACTGTCAGCGAGTCTGGCGTGCATTGGCCTTTGCTGCCGATAATTCACATTGGCGAATCTGAACGAGCGAAATTGGCGAGCATTTGCCGTTGCTGCCGATAATTCACATTCGCCAAATTGAACGAAAGAAACTGGTGAGCATTCGCCTTTGCTGCCGACACTTCGCATTCGCCAAACTGATTTTAAATGATCTATTAACGCTTTGGGAAGTCTATCACGGCTCGGGGTGACAAGCTTCGACCTGAAACCCCCGTTCTATTGACTGGTTCCTCTATTATTACGTCTTCTTCTTATTATTATTATTACTAGAAAAAGAGTTTCGCTGAAAGCAGAAAGGAACAAAGGATAATGGAATGAAATGAAAGCTGAGGAAATGAAAGAAGGCTGATGGAAATGAAAGAAGGATGGTGGATATGAAGGAATGCTTGGACTTACTCTGCCAGTCCGTCCCAGATGGCCAGGGCGGTCCTGAGAAGGACCTCGTCTCCCTGCAGGAAGGTTAGATCCCAGACCCTCATCACAGTCTCCCTGGGCAGGCAGTTGCTGAAGAGAGTCAGGAACCACTGCATGGTGAACACGTTGGTCAGGGGCGGCTCATAGCTGGTACCTGAGGAACAACACAAGTAGGTACTAGTTAGGTGCTGCCTCCTACCTCACATACCTGGTACCTGAGGAACAACGCAAGTGGGTACCTTTTAGGTGCTGCCTCCTACCTCACGTAGCTTGTACCTGAGGAACAACACAAGTAGGTACCTTCTAGGTGCTGCCTCCTACCTCACGCAGCTGGTACCTGAGGAACAACACAAGTAGGTATTAGTTAGGTACTGCCCCCTACCTCACGTACTTCATGTATCTAAGTACTGACTTATTTGTTATCGTTATTATAGCTGATTGCGATCTTAATGTTCATGAAACGAGGTGCTTCCCTGGATGGTTGCTGTTCAGCAGTGCTTCCCTGGATGGTTGCTGTCCAGCAGTGCTTCCCTGGATGGTTGCTGTCCAGCAGTGCTTCCCTGGATGGTTGCTGTCCAGCAGTGCTTCCCTGGATGGTTGCTGTCCAGCAGTGCTTCCTGGATGGTTGCTGTCCAGCAGTGCTTCCCTGGATGGTTGCTGTCCAGCAGTGCTTCCCTGGATGGTTGCTGTCCAGCAGTGCTTCCCTGGATGGTTGCTGTCCAGCAGTGCTTCCCTGGATGGTTGCTGTCCAGCAGTGCTTCCCTGGATGGTTGCTGTCCAGCAGTGCTTCCCTGGATGGTTGCTGTCCAGCAGTGCTTCCCTGGATGGTTGCTGTCCAGCAGTGCTTCCCTGGATGGTGCTGTCCAGCAGTGCTTCCCTGGATGGTTGCTGTCCAGCAGTGCTTCCCTGGATGGTTGCTGTCCAGCAGTGCTTCCCTGGATGGTTGCTGCCCAGCAGTGCTTCCCCGGATGGTTGCTGTCCAGCAGTGCTTCCCTGGATGATTGCTGCCCAGCAGTGCTTCCCTGGATGGTTGCTGTCCAGCAGTGCTTCCCTGGATGGTTGTTGTCCAGCAGTGCTTCCCTGGATGGTTGCTGTCCAGCAGTGCTTCCCTGGATGGTTGCTGCCCAGCAGTGCTTCCCTGGATGGTTGCTGCCCAGCAGTGCTTCCCTGGATGGTTGCTGCCCAGCAGTGCTTCCCTGGATGGTTGCTGTCCAGCAGTGCTTCCCTGGATGATTGCTGCCCAGCAGTGCTTCCCTGGATGGTTGCTGCCCAGCGGTGCTTCCCTGGATGGTTGCTGCCCAGCAGTGCTTCCCTGGATGGTTGCTGTCCAGCAGTGCTTCCCTGGATGGTTGCTGTCCAGCAGTGCTTCCCTGGATGATTGCTGCCCAGCAGTGCTTCCCTGGATGTTTGCTGCCCAGCAGTGCTTCCCTGGATGATTGCTGCCCAGCAGTGCTTCCCTTGATGATTGCTGCCCAGCAGTGCTTCCCTGGATGGTTGCTGCCCAGCAGTGCTTCCCTGGATGGTTGCTGCCCAGCAGTGCTTCCCTGGATGGTTGCTGCCCAGCAGTGCTTCCCTGGATGGCTGCTGCCCAGCAGTGCTTCCCTGGATGGTTGCTGCCCAGCAGTGCTTCCCTGAATGGTTGCTGCCCAGCAGTGCTTCCCTGGATGGTTGCTGCCCAGCAGTGCTTCCCTGGATGGTTGCTGACCAGCAGTGCTTCCCTGGATGGTTTCTGCCCAGCAGTGCTTCCCTGGATGGTTTGGTGGCCCAGCAGTGCTTCCCTGGATGGTTGGTGCCCAGCAGTGCTTCCCTGGATGGTTGCTGCCCAGCAGTGCTTCCCTGGATGGTTGCTGCCCAGCAGTGCTTCCCTGGATGGTTGCTGCCCAGCAGTGCTTCCCTGGATGGTTTGCTGCCCAGCAGTGCTTCCCCGGATGGTTGCTGCCCAGCAGTGCTTCCCTGGATGACTGCTGCCCAGCAGTGCTTCCCTGGATGGTTGCTGCCCAGCAGTGCTTCCCTGGATGGTTGCTGCCCAGCAGTGCTTCCCTGGATGGTTGCTGCCCAGCAGTGCTTCCCTGGATGGTTGCTGCCCAGCAGTGCTTCCCTGGATGGTTGCTGCCAGCAGTGCTTCCCTGGATGGTTTTCTGCCCAGCAGTGCTTCCCTGGATGGTTGCTGCCCAGCAGTGCTTCCCTGGATAGTTGCTGCCCAGCAGTGCTTCCCTGGATGGTTGCTGCCCAGCAGTGCTTCCCTGGATGGTTGCTGCATAGCAGTGCTTCCCTGGATGACTGCTGCCCACCAGTGCTTCCTGGATGACTGCTGGCCCAGTAGTGCTTCCCTGGATGACTGCTGCCCAGCAGTGCTTCCCTGGATGACTACTGCCCAGCAGTGCTTCCCTGGATGACTGCTGCCCAGCAGTGCTTCCCTGGATGACTGCTGCCCAGCAATGCTTCCCTGGATGATTGTTGCAAAGCAGTGCTTCCCTGGATGGTTGCTGCCCAGCAGTGCTGCCCTGGATGATTGTTGCAAAGCAGTGCTTCCCTGGATGATTGTTGCAAAGCAGTGATTCCCTGGATGGTTGCTGCCCAGCAGTGCTTCCCTGGATGGTTGCTGCCCAGCAGTGCTTCCCTGGATGATTGCTGCCCAGCAGTGCTTCCCTGGATGGTTGCTGCCCAGCAGTGCTTCCCTGGATGATTGCTGCCCAGCAGTGCTTCCCTGGATGGTTGCTGCCCAGCAGTGCTTCCCTGGATGATTGCTGCCCAGCAGTGCTTCCCTGGATGTTTGCTGCCCAGCAGTGCTTCCCTGGATGATTGCTGCCCAGCAGTGCTTCCCTTGATGATTGCTGCCCAGCAGTGCTTCCCTGGATGGTTGCTGCCCAGCAGTGCTTCCCTGGATGGTTGCTGCCCAGCAGTGCTTCCCTGGATGGTTGCTGCCCAGCAGTGCTTCCATGGATGGCTGCTGCCCAGCAGTGCTTCCCTGGATGGTTGCTGCCCAGCAGTGCTTCCCTGGATGGTTGCTGCCCAGCAGTGCTTCCCTGGATGATTGCTGCCCAGCAGTGCTTCCCTGGATGGTTGCTGCCCAGCAGTGCTTCCCTGGATGGTTTCTGCCCAGCAGTGCTTTTCCCCGGATGGTTGGTGCCCAGCAGTGCTTCCCTGGATGGTTGGTGCCCAGCAGTGCTTCCCTGGATGGTTGGTGCCCAGCAGTGCTTCCCTGGATGGTTGCTGCCCAGCAGTGCTTCCCTGGATGGTTACTGCCCAGCAGTGCTTCCCTGGATGGTTGCTGCCCAGCAGTGCTTCCCTGGATGGTTGCTGCCCAGCAGTGCTTCCCTGGATGGTTGCTGCCCAGCAGTGCTTCCCTGGATGACTGCTGCCCAGCAGTGCTTCTCTGGATGGTTACTGCCCAGCAGTGCTTCCCTGGATGGTTGCTGCCCAGCAGTGCTTCCCTGGATGGTTGCTGCCCAGCAGTGCTTCCCTGGATGGTTGCTGCCCAGCAGTGCTTCCCTTGATGATTGCTGCCCAGCAGTGCTTCCCTGGATGGTTGCTGCCCAGCAGTGCTTCCCTGGATGGTTGCTGCCCAGCAGTGCTTCCCTGGATGGTTGCTGCCCAGCAGTGCTTCCCTGAATGGTTGCTGCCCAGCAGTGCTTTCCCTGGATGGTTGCTGCCCAGCAGTGTTCCCTGATGGTTGCTGACCAGCAGTGCTTCCCTGGATGGTTTCTGCCCAGCAGTGCTTCCCTGGATGGTTGGTGCCCAGCAGTGGGTTCCCTGGATGGTTGGTGCCCAGCAGTGCTTCCCTGGATGGTTGCTGCCCAGCAGTGCTTCCCTGGATGGTTGCTGCCCAGCAGTGCTTCCCTGGATGGTTGCTGCCAGCAGTGCTTCCCTGGATGGTTGCTGCCCAGCAGTGCTTCCCTGGATGGTTGCTGCCCAGCAGTGCTTCCCTGGATGACTGCTGCCCAGCAGTGCTTCCCTGGATGGTTGCTGCCCAGCAGTGCTTCCCTGGATGGTTGCTGCCCAGCAGTGCTTCCCTGGATGGTTGCTGCCCAGCAGTGCTTCCCTGGATGGTTGCTGCCCAGCAGTGCTTCCCTGGATGGTTGCTGCCCAGCAGTGCTTCCCTGGATGGTTGCTGCCCAGCAGTGCTTCCCTGGATGGTTGCTGCCAGCAGTGCTTCCCTGGTAGTTGCTGCCCAGCAGTGCTTCCCTGGATGGTTGCTGCCAGCAGTGGGTTCCCTGGATGGTTGCTGCATAGCAGTGCTTCCCTGGATGACTGCTGCCCACCAGTGCTTCCCTGGATGACTGCTGCCCAGTAGTGCTTCCCTGGATGACTGCTGCCCAGCAGTGCTTCCTGGATGACTACTGCCCACAGTGCTTCCTGGATGACTGCTGCCCAGCAGTGCTTCCCTGGATGACTGCTGCCCAGCAATGCTTCCCTGGATGATTGTTGCAAAGCAGTGCTTCCCTGGATGGTTGCTGCCCAGCAGTGCTGCCCTGGATGATTGTTGCAAAGCAGTGCTTCCCTGGATGATTGTTGCAAAGCAGTGATTCCCTGGATGGTTGCTGCCCAGCAGTGCTTCCCTGGATGGTTGCTGCCCAGCAGTGCTTCCCTGGATGATTGCTGCCCAGCAGTGCTTCCCTGGATGGTTGCTGCCCAGCAGTGCTTCCCTGGATGATTGCTGCCCAGCAGTGCTTCCCTGGATGGTTGCTGCCCAGCAGTGCTTCCCTGGATGATTGCTGCCCAGCAGTGCTTCCCTGGATGTTTGCTGCCCAGCAGTGCTTCCCTGGATGATTGCTGCCCAGCAGTGCTTCCCTTGATGATTGCTGCCCAGCAGTGCTTCCCTGGATGGTTGCTGCCCAGCAGTGCTTCCCTGGATGGTTGCTGCCCAGCAGTGCTTCCCTGGATGGTTGCTGCCCAGCAGTGCTTCCATGGATGGCTGCTGCCCAGCAGTGCTTCCCTGGATGGTTGCTGCCCAGCAGTGCTTCCCTGGATGGTTGCTGCCCAGCAGTGCTTCCCTGGATGATGCTGCCAGCAGTGCTTCCCTGGATGGTTGCTGCCCAGCAGTGCTTCCCTGGATGGTTTCTGCCCAGCAGTGCTTCCCTGGATGGTTGGTGCCCAGCAGTGCTTCCCTGGATGGTTGGTGCCCAGCAGTGCTTCCCTGGATGGTTGGTGCCC